GAAGGTTCTCAGGTCTCTCTTTCCCTTGCTTGAACCTAGGCTAGGTGCCTTTTCCCGTGACAAACCTGAGTACCACAAAGCTGCATCCTCACATGCTCTGCACTTGTTTAGAGATCCAATATCTCTGAGTTTGTGCTTTTAAGACCTGAGAGCACCTTCGCTCCACTGTTGTAGATCAGTCAGCCTGCCCTTCGCTCACAATGTCGACTCAATTAGGCCATGTTCTCTGTTTCATTAATAGCAGCTGAAAAACCTAGTAATTTTACTGAATCTGTCAGTTCCTCTCTTGTATCTCTTTCACTACCATAGTTCTTTTTGCTCAAGATTCCATTTGCTTTAGCCTACAACAGTGTTCTCTGACTTAAACACATAAGGCTTGTTTAAAGGGGCCAAATAATTCTATAAACGATGCCAGATTTTTATGTTGAACAAAAAATATATATAGTAAACTAGAAGCTGACTTACATCTGTAAACCCAGCACAAGGCAGGCATAGGCAGGAAGGTTATGTTGCCATGGTAAGCCTGTTTTTTAAACTATATCTGTAAAATAAACATAAAATATGCCACCTTAGTCATCTTTAAATAATCACTGCCTACCAATATGAATATACTTAATATATGATAACTTTATTTTTTTATTTTTGGTGGAACTGTTTTGATTTCCATGGCATCTGCATCATTTTACTTTCCTACAAACAATAGGTTCCCAGTTCCTATGTGTCTTCCTAAATAATGCTCCTTTCTGTATTCCCATAGTAGCACCCCAGAGAATGTGGGGTGGCAGCTTATTTGAGTTTTGATTTGCAGGACTTCCTTCCTGAGTGATGCTGAGCACCTTGCCATGCATGTTCTGGCCACCTGTGCACCTTCTTTTGAGAAATCCTATCCAGATTCTTTGCACATTACTCAGGCTGACTTTCTTTTCTTACCGCTGCTTTTGCTTCGGGGCTCTCAAATGGAGACTATCCATTTGAATGGGAATGTTTGACAAAGTATTTTAATAACCCAGTACTTTGAGTGATTCTTCAGAAAAATCAGTCTTCACACTTAGCTAGAATGTGGCAATATGTAATTCTCAAATGCTAGTTTGAATGAGCTATCACCCTCTAACTCAACAGTGGTTGCTCATGTGGAGGTAAGGCTAGAATGTGGAAGTTATAGAAATCTGCAATATGAGGGTCTGTCAAATCAGATGAAGAAAATAGCCAATCTTACTCACTTAAAACATTTTTGAAGATCTGTTTTTATTTTGTGTGTATGGGTGTTTTCTTTCATGTATGAATACATACCATGTGTATGCCTAGTGCCCATGAAGGCCAGAAGAAAGTGTTAAAGCCCCTGGAACTGCAATTAAGGCATTTTGAGTCTCCATGTGAGAACTAGGCACCTAACCTAGGTCTTTTTTGAGAGCAGCAAGTGGTCTTAACATCTGAACCATCCCTTTATTCCCCTTAATTGTTTACATTTTATGTACTAATTTTGGAGGTTGGTTTGCATGTGCTCATGGCATGGCTTGTAGGTAGATGTTGGAGGATGCCTTACAGGAGGAGTATATTTTTTCCTCCCATTGTGTGGATTCCAGGGATCAAATACAGGACATCAGGCTTGCAGGGCTACTGTCTTCACCTACTGAGCCATTGCTGCCACATCTGCCCGATATGAACTGCTCTCAGTAGTGTTGTTGCATATGAGGGCATGATTAAATGTCTCTTTAGGTAAGCATGTCTGTATCAATTTAATCTGTTTGATAACTCAGTTTTTTCATGATTTTCCTTGTTTCAAGCTAGTATACTACATAACAATTTGTTTGTACAATGCAAAATGTCAAAGGAAAAAAAAACTTTAGAAGTGATTTATTGAAGTAATAAGGCAAGCCATTTTGCTTATAACAAACTTTACCACTGAATCATCTCCACAACCTGACAATCAGGTTTTCTGACTGATTGATGCGTTAGTCAGTTTTGTACTAAAAATTCAAATAATTCTGTCTTTGATTAAACACACATACACACACAAACACAAACACACATCTTCTTCAATACAGAAATATTTTAGGATGACCTTTTAACTCATGATTTTCCAAGTCTTCCCCCCACCAAAAAAAGAAAAGAAAAGAATTCATGGCTTGATACCAAGCATGATAGCACTAACACTGATGTCACTGCGGAGAACAGATGCAGCCTAGCTTTGGCACGGTACAACACACTTTCTTCCTTATCATCTGGAAAATAATGTGCATATGGAACGTTAGTCTGCCTCAGTCTTGTGCTATTTTACGTTAGAGAATAGGAAGGCCTTTTAAAGATATAAATATTTCCTAAACTTTTAAGATTAATCCGAAATACCACTCACTTCTACATAAACTATCTCTACCAAAAGCAGTTATTCCTTAAATCCCAGAGAGCTGGGTTTCCATGTCAGCTACAATAGTCGGAGTGAAACATCCGTTTCTTTAACTTAAACACTTGAAAGATTTTTGAATGAAGAAAGTATCCCTGTTCTCTTAATGTGAGCTTGACTTTTGTATAGAGTAGGAACTTACCAATGTTTAATGACTAGGTAGATAAATAAAGGTCATTTTCTCCTTGCCAAAACATGTCACAAAAATAATACTTTGATAGAGTAATAGACCCAAACTGTCTCCTGCTTCCTTTTCTGCTTTGACTGATACCATAGTTGGGGAGTTGATGAAATTCTTTGCTTCCATAGAGAGCTAAAACAAACATTATAGTGCAAGTTTTCAAGATTCTTGGACCACTGGAGTGAAGATCCTTGAAGTTAGCATCCCAGCTCCTCCTATGCAGAGACAGAGTTCAAAATCTCTCTACAAGAAATAGCTCAGAGATATATCACATATTCTAGGCTTGCTTTATTTTTAATGGTTTTTAAATTCAAGGGGATAATGGAGTGCAAAAACAACACAAGGCCAGGGGTTCCAGGGGTGGGGGAGAGGTCGGAGCCTGCCACTTAATGAACTACTGGCAACTAATGGTATGGGGGAGGCATTGTGTTTAGTTGTGTACCCACTGGATGCATGGTTCCAAACTTAAGGTTGGAACCACAACTAACCCTCAACTTTGTGGGACACAAAACAAAATGTCATGAATATAGGAAAGTTATAAGGGAAAATGGCAAAAGTGAGAGCTAACAACAAAAGTGGGAAGAGTAACTAGAAAGAGTTATACATATGTATGAAATTCTTATAAAAAACAAAATTTATTAATTTCAAAAAAACACACCTCCCCTGAAGTTTAAGATTCATTCTCATTAAAAATTCTCTAACAACAGGCTAGCTCAGCAGTTAAGAGCACTTGCTATTCTTACAGAGGACTAGAATAAAGTTCCTAGCACTCAAAAAGGGGCAGTTTACAACTAGGTAAATTCTAGTTTTAGGGGATCTGACATCCTCTTCTGGCCTCTTCAGATACCAGGAATACATACATACATAAATGTGAGCAAACACTCATAAAATTAAAAAAAAATGAAATAGAAATGAACGTTTAAAAAACTCTGAAAATGTTAAGCTCTTTGAAATATTTTGCATAAGTTTTTCTCTAAATAGGAGATAATCCACATTGCCAAGAGTAGCAATCTAGTCTTGGGCTGCCCCTAGTCATTCTTGTTGGGTCTAGATATAAATGCCCAGTCCTCATTTACCTTCGCCACCCCCCCCCCCGAACAACTTTCTGGAAGTGAGACGTTTCCTAGAATGTGGGACTTTCAATGCTAAACTAAGATGAGCTCAGGAAAAGTAAGAAGTTTCATCATCTTGAGTTGGTAAAAACACATGTAGACAAACCTAGCAATCCAGCAACTCCGGACTATTTCAGTTATAGCTGCATGTATAAAAGTATCTGTTAAGTCTCCCTCCCCTAATTTTTCTGGACTACAACATGTTTTAATTAGAGCGACATGTTACAAATTTTACCATGCAGCAGATTCAAAATGGGCCTTGTTAAGTGAGTTTCCCCTTGGATACTTGAAGGTTGTGCTTTAAAAATCTGCCACTTCCTATGAGCTCTTAGATGATGCTGATATGATCTATTGTGGAGAACTTTGAGTGTTTGCATATTACCATGTCCTTCTAACACTAATATGTAAGCAGGAAAGGGGTCAGCTAAAAGTATGAAAGCACAACACAGATTATAGACTTTTATGAGAATCAGTTTTATTTTCTTATATGGATATATATATTGTTTTTTGTTTGTTTGATTGTTTTTCAAGACAGAGTTTCTCTGCGTAGTCTTGGCTGTCCTGGACTCACTTTGTAGGCCAGGCTGGCCTTGGAATAACAGAGATCCACCTGCCTCTGCCTCCCATCTTTTTTTATTTCTTAAGCACCTCTCAATGCTGCTTCATAGAAAGAGGTCTAAACTTTGGGTCTAAACGATTTTTGCACAGCCATAGGGTTCTCTATAATTAGGTTTACTTTAATGACTGACTTCTCAGTGGAAAAGCAAACCCGCTGGTGACATTTGGTTTCTCTTAGGAACTAACAGTTGAAATATCCTGTGTAGTTAATTTGCGTCATAGCTTTGCAATTACCTTTTTCTCTGGTAAGGGCACTGATGAGAAAAAAAACACTGTATGCTGATAACACAATCTGCATTTCCTATGATCTATGCATGCTTTTAAATGTAACTGAATATGTAGCAGAAATATAAAAGCCATTCCACAATGTAAATATGCATTTAATTTACACCCAAATTCTGCCCTTGGAAAGGAAACAGCTGTCTTACTGCTTCCTATCAGTACATTCATTTTGCTTTCCACTGTGAAAATATCTCTTGTCTTCTATTAAGTTACTCCCCTATCTAGATATATTTGACCTGGGAGAAACTCAGTTACAGAAGCAGAATTTAAATCTCATTATGTGTAAGTAGTTTCTGAGGAAATTGATCAGAAATAGAATATTTACCATTGATGCATAAAATAAATTTCTATGTGTCCTACTCTAGACAAAATTTCAATAACATGACCCTTTTGTCTTTGTCCCCAGCGTTCCTGTGGTGGGCTGGCTATTCCCTTATGCGCATTCCAGGGGACCGTGTCTCTCCAAGCACCTACTGGGAAAACTCTTTCTCTTTCTACTTACGAGGTCAGTGCAGAAGGGCAAAAGATAACCCCGGCCTCTAAGAAAATAGAAGTCTATCGATCGAAAAGTGTTGGCCACGAACCAAACTCAGAGGAGTCTCCCTCCACGTTTCCGGACACCAGCGTGAAAATACACTTGGAGGTTCTTGAAATCTGTGACAACGATGAGGCTTTGGACACTGTGTCCATCATCAGCAACATCAGCCAGTCCTCCACAAAAGTCAGGTCTCCTTCTCTGCGCTACTCACGCAAAGAAAATAGATTTGTCTCGTGCGACTTAGGAGAAACCGCCTCCTACTCTCTCTTCTTACCCACCAGTGATCCTGATGGAGATATCAACATCTCCATCCCAGACACTGTGGAGGCACACAGACAGAACAGCAGGCGGCAGCATCAAGAGAGAGATGGCTACCAGGAGGAGATCCAGCTGTTAAACAAAGCCTACAGGAAAAGGGAGGCAGAAAGCAAGGGTAATTAGAGAGTGCCCGCGCTAACAGAAGCCAGAACGGCTCTGCAACCTTAGACTTATCACAGTCCTAAAACGAATTCCCCACTTTCTTTTAATCATAGGCTTACATAACCTTTCCTGGTTTCCTAGTTATTATTTTTTTGGGTGACCTGCTGTAATGCATACATAAAGAGTATTTCATATGCTGCTTAAAGATCATACACTGTGGTAATTGAACAACTTCCTGTCTAGTTTCTAAAATCTTTCTAAACCAAATCTTGATCTAGTTTGCCAATGTTTTTGCCTATCTGGCAAATGACTACATTGTTCTCCTGCATGAGTTTCTGTACACATGCTGCTTTCTACTGCAAGAGATAAAAGAGATGTTCTAGCAATAGAGAAAAATAAAAATGCACCAAAACTCTCAGTTGTATTTGAACACAGATTTGCTTAAATGTGTCTAGCCAAACAAGCTTATTCTAGTTGCTGCTTTAGCCTTTTTAGTGGTCTAGGAAATATGTTCTTGTGTAAAAGGGAAAATTAAGCTTCTGACATGGAAATTTGGAAATATGGTTAGCCCTAGTCTATCATTATTTCATTTGTTTCTATAAAATACAAGTAGTTTAGTAAGTGGTTCTGTTTGACTCTTAAATATATCACGTTGTTTCTTTCCCTTTTCAGTGCTTCAAGGTCAATTCTAAACAAATATTCTGTATATTACAGGTGGCATTAGAAGTAATCTTTAACTCAAACATCTCTGGAAAAAGCTTGTTGTTCAGTTTCTCTTCCTACAACAAATACCTGCAATGTGCTTTGTTTGGACTCATGGCCCATTGGCTCTGTTGCTTCGGAGACTGCACAGGGTGCACGGAGTGGCACAGGGTGGAATTAATATAGGACAGAAGAAAATCACACAGGGCATGAGAGCCAATGAAAGAGACAAGCATCTTTGTTCCAAAACCCCTTCTAGAACATGTTCCCATGCCCTAAAGATGTCTAAGTAGGCCCCACCCCCATTTATCCTTCCCCTGGAAGTACTTCCCTGGAAACTGTGACTCCTCATATTAACCCTTAGGGTCCAAATTATAGCGTACCATAAGTATATCACCATCTGATAAGCATCCTGTTTCTCGGAATGAAGACTGGGAGGAAATCCTGTCACGTTAAATCCTGAGATGTACACTACACTAGGGGAACAAGCTTCCGGCTAAAGCAGAGGAAAACCCTAGAGTGTCTAACAAAAGGGGGTCTGCTCCTGTTGCTGAAGTTTGGGAAGACTTGCTTTGCCATTCTTGATGCATAGAAAAATTTATTTCAAATATTATTGCTCAATTGAATACTTTAAGGTTTTTCTCCTAAAGACATTGTTTTATCTTAAACAATTCAATATGGCAATATTAATTTCTCAAAACATCTTATCCGCACACTGCTAAAGTATATTTCAAAAATTATGATCTTTTAAAATTACCTTATTCTAATCTTTCTATAGACATATTAAGTGTATTACCTAAATATTTATTTGTAAAAGTCATTGTTTGGTATGCTCTTAGATTGTGTTTACCTGCATTTCAAGCACATATGTTGTTTACAGATTAAATGAATTAAAATAGTTTGTTTTGGTTTCTATTTCATTATGCTGAGTCAAAATTCTTAAAATTAGTTTTTCATGAGCTTTTAGACTGTTTTGTTCTGCAAAGAGTATTTGTCATCAAGAAAAGACACTTTGAAAATGCATACCTCAAAAACAAACAAATAAGCAGATAAATAAATAAATAAATGGTAGTTGTTATGGTTCATGTCTAAATTTCAAGCACTTAGGAGGAGGCACAAGAAAGCAAACATAATAAGGCCTAGCATATACATTTAAAGTTATAGGAATTGCCATTAAAATATATTTTATTTAAAAAACAACTTTAAACAAAATTGAGAGCTATTGAAGACACAACTGGGCAAATCTATCTACTTAAATGTAAACATGGAATGTCTTCATAAAAGAGAGCTGAGAATGCAGCTTGGTTGGTAGTCTATGCATCAAGAGTTTAAGGTCATTCTCTCCTAAGAGTCTAAGACCAATTGTGTAGTCCTGTGTTCAAAGTAAGAAGTCTTCATGGAAAAGAAAAATTAGGCTGAGTGTGGTGACACATGCCTTTAATTCCAACATATTAGAGGCCAGTTTGGTTCCAGGCAAGCCAGGGCTGTGTGAGACCTTGCCTCCATAATAAAGTATAAGAAAAAAGGGAAGAAGGCAAAGGAGCAAGCAAGCGAGAAAGATCAAATTGAATATTCTAACAGTGTTTTGTAAAAGATAGTTTTTGGCATACCTAGATGTCTAATTTTTTGAAGGAGACCGTGATACAGCTATATTAAATGCAAATTTTAAATTTAAATAATTTAATGCAAAATTTAAATATCTGAGTGTAAAGAATTTTTTAAAAGAAAGTGATAAAGATTTGAATGTAAAAAAAATCCTTTTTAACAGGATAGAGCCTTTAATAAGAAGATGGAAATAAGGCTTGGGAGATTAGAAGACAGAAATGTCCAAATTTCTGACTATCTTTCATTTTCTTTTCACTGCTGGATAAGTCTAGGCTGGGAGTAACAAAAGTAGAAAATAAAGTATACTCCCACTTAACTATCCTTGGTTCTTATACTTCAATTATTCTCTGAATTAAAGAGTGCTGGCATTAATTATCTGAGACACATTTTAAAGGGCTAGTAAGAATTATTTTAAAAAATGTGTAACACATGGGCTGAAGAGATGGCTCGGTGATTAAGAACACTGGCTGCTTTTGCAGAGAACCTGAGTGGAATTCTCAGCACCCGCATCCAGTTCAAGGGGATCTGAGGTGGTCTTTTGACCTCTTTTGACCTCTTTTTGACCTCTTTTTGACCTCTGCACATGGTACAGAGCCATACATGCAGGCAAACCACCCATACATATAAACTTAAATTATATTAATAAATAAATTGTAACACTCAGCACTCTGAGCTATCTGTACTGAATTGCTGAAAAAATAAAATAAAAATTAATTGGTTCACACAGAAACCATAAATATCACCTCCAAATCCTTATAAGGAGGGAACGTTTTAGTTATACATGCCTATTCAAGTTTATTTACTCTTTAGAATGATTCTGATCATGAACTTGATATTTTTTTTTACTATATCTAAATTCCTAAATTGTTCTTGTGAGAGAAAGCTACAAAATTCTGAGTATTGGTAAACAGCTAATCAGTAAATTTGGCATAGCTGCCTCTGCTGTGTATAAACTGATACACCTGCAGATAAAAACTGTTTCAATGTTGGTGGCGCCATCTGGTGGTGACTCCTACCAACTGCATACATTCAGCCTCTTAAGATTGAAGAAGTCAAACACATACTTTATAATCCCTAATACTTCTGACAGGTGATTTTGACAGAGCCAACTCATTTTAAAAGCAGAAATGCATGCTATATTTTTCAGGACACATAAATAATGACCATGCATTATTTTGAAGGTCCTCTTATAAGTTTCTCTGACATTAGATTTGAAAACAAATTTTCCCTCACTGACATCTTTCAACTTATTCATTTTTCATTATAATTGGTGACTGTTATATAATATAAATTGTTCTAGGTGCTTGAAATTAAAATTTTAAATAAAAACAAAACATATATGCCATGAATTTAAGCCAACTGTAAAGTCAGTGAACGAGTTCACTCAACATCGCCTCACCCCCAACCCTGATTTTATGATCAGAAAATTCTCTGAATCACTTTTAGTTTCCACAATTCATCAGACAGATTTATGCAATGTGGAGGGATCTTCTGTTTCTTGTATCTCACTGTCTCCTCTTCACTGGTCCTGGACAAGCCAGGCAGTAAGAAAGTGGTTTGTAATTACAGCTTTGGGTCTTTTACCTGAAGAACGAGAAACTGGTATCTGTCATCTGAAGAGCCCAACAGACCAAATTCTGCTCCTCCTAAAATGGAGCCCCATCAAGGATTCAAATGAGCTTTTCCTGCGTGCATGTTGTCATGCATAGGAAAAGAATGTTGTCAGTGACTCCACAATAAAAACACGTTAGAAAGTCTGCACCTGGAACCTTTCCTACACTTCTGCGCCATTCATTTCCCCTCCTGGCTGATTCTATTTATGTATTTTCCTGTTTTAATTTTAATTTTATTTTTAAAGTTTATAATTAGTTCTTTGAAGATTTCTTTCACATGCACAGCACATCTTATAACCACTTCCAACTTCCCCATCCCATACCCCCTGGACCCTCCTCAATACATCAACTTCATTCGGTTTTCTTAAACAAAACAAAACAAAACACTGAGTCCAATGATTGCTATCTACATGAACTGGGACATCCATAGGTGCATGGGTAAGAGCAGTGACCAGATCCCCAAAGAACAGAGACTCCCCATCCATGTTCTTGGCTGATTTTGATCTTTGCTTCCTACGAAACAAGTTATAGCCATGAGAGCATAGTTGTCCAGATAGCAGATACCAGTTTCTAAACGATCCAACACTCTCACTAAATGTCACTTTGTAACTGTCTGGCTTGTCCAGTACCAGCAAAAAGAGAGAAGTAAGATGTATTATTTGTAAGTGATAGAAGATACTTTCCCTGGTTTGGGATTTCATATAGAAGAAGAGAAAAATCTGTGATCAATGTTCTAGTAATGGATCAGTACAGAAACTATAAGTGGGAACTATTCTGCCTCTGATTTTTTTACTTTAGGAGACCGCAAGACATGGGTTGCATGGGATCTGTGAGATCTGAAAGGGGCATTTCTCATGTGAGGTTCCCACTTCCCAGATGAGTCTAACTTGTATTACATTGACACAAAATCCCCCTGCACAAATTACAACAGCACTGCAAGACTTTTCTCAGCTTTCCTCAGCAGTTCAGAAAGAGTGCCTATGTTCCTGTATAGCATGCAGGAGATAAAGAGGCAAGAGATGCTGCTAGATAGCACATGGATTCCGGGGATGGAGCCACACACCCAGACAGCTAAAGTCAAGCGAAATTTCTGCCAGTAAGCCAACAGGGAGTGAGAGCCCTCAGAACACCAGCTGAAGTAAGGTTGGATTAGCTGGTACAACCACCAGACTCTGATCGTCAAGGATTCATTCACATTAATGATCCCAAATATGATATCAAACAAACCAGCAAGTTGTAGAAATAAAACATACACATGCAAGGAGTATTTTTTTTTATGGCAAAAACCTCCCAGATCTCTTCCGTAAAGCCTTGTTTTAAATAGGAGGAAACACTTAACAGTAAAACTTCATAATAACCCAAAAGAAGAAAATTAATGGTACTGTTTTTCAAGAAGGGTGCTAACAGTAACGCCACTCCCAGGCTTTCATATCAGCCTGCAAATGGGTCAGAGTGCTGATATAAAGATTATGCAGCATACCATGCTCCTGACACCAACTAAACTATGTAGTGCCCATTATTACTACATTCTGTGGTTCTGTGTGGTTAGTGAGTAGACTGAAAAATGGGGAGATGGGTGCTTGCAGAATTAGACCCCAAATACTATCACTTTGAAGACAATGTTTATGTATCTACACTCTATCCTATGAGCAACAAAGACAGCATTTGAGAAGGAGAGTATCATAGGCTGTTGAAACCACACCACTATAACATTCTCTCCTACACCCTGGATTCAAGATTTTGCTGCCAATTTATTTATTGCCAATTATGTTATCTTTCTGTAACATCTTATCATTATCGAAAAGGAAAATAGTCTTCATCTTCTTTGTTCAGTACTTGAGGGCATACAGATTAAATTGACAAAATGGATAGGCAATATAAAAGGTGCACATAATTGCATCTCTATCGAATTTAGAGGAAAAAAAAAAAACATGACTTGAGGAGGGGGTAGAATCTGAGCCTTTGACCATAGTGTCCACATATCTGTGAGTGGTATGTTCCAAAATACCCATGGGTGTCAGACAGCAGTGAACTTTTAAAAGCTGTTATTTTCCACTCAAACATTCATACAACAGTTTAATTAATAAACTAGGCATAGTTAGAAATTAATAACCAATAATATCTTCTACAAGTATGTGACTGTGGTGGCTAGTGAGATTGTTCAGTGAGTGCAGATGCTTGCTGCCAAGACTGACAATATAGATTCTATCCTCACATGATGGAAGAAGTGATACCTCTAAGTTATTCTCTGACTTCCATGCACGTGATGGCATGTGTATATACACACACAGTACATAATTAAAAGTGTAATTATTTTTTATTTGAATGAGTTTCTCCTTCTCTTTCTCCCTTTTTTCTTCTTTCTCAGAATAGCTTCCTGCACTGTACTCATCCTTTTAGTGACGACAAGGTAAAGGATGGCTCAATGCTTTTGGCACATTACATTTTCATCAGTCACTTTATGTTCCCGTCACCCATTTACAAATGTGTCGCCTTTTCCATCTTAATTGGGAGCTTTTCATGTATTATGACCATAACTTAAGAAATTTGAAGTACAATAGCAAAAT